AAAATTCCAAATTGAAATTAGAAAAAGAAGAAAATGAAATTAGAAAATTTAAGGACAAAGCAGGTGAAGAGGGGATTCATGAATATCCAGGGGCAACCAGGAATAGATTTTGGTTTTATTTATAAGACGAAGGGCTGTTATTAAATTTTAGTTATATAATACGTGTACGAAACGAGAGAAGAGACGTTTTTTGTTTTTGTATTTAGTGAAATTCGTATATAAAAATGAATATTTTTGTGGGGTAGAGACAGGTAGCCGGTCCACAGGGAAAATTATAGATAACAATAACTGGAATTTTTGGTGTTTTCAGTAGAAAGAAATTACTGGAAAACGAGGATTTCCGATCTTCTGGATACTATATTCTATGGATCCTATAGATCCTAAGGGTCTTCTGGAGCACCTTTGGATTCTAGATCCTTTGGTTTAGAGTTTTGGGCTTGAATTTCTTGGAATGGGAAGTTCGCAAATTCGAAAAAAAAACTTTTTGGAATTTCAGAACTTTTCGAATTTTTTAAATTTCTTAATCAATTTTCCGCAAACAGTTATGTTCGAAAAAATCGAAAAACCCAGAAAAAAAATTTTTTTTTTGAATTTCTGGAATTCTGAGATTCTGAGATGCCTGAGATTCTGAGATTCCTGAGATTCCTGAGATTCTGAGATTCCTGAGATTCCTGAGATACTTAGATTCTGAGATTCTGAGATTCTGGGATTCTGAAATTCCGAGATTCTGAGATTCTGACATTCTGAGATTCTGAGATTCTGGGATTCTAAAATTCCGAGATTTTGAGATTCTGAGATTTTGAGATTCGGAGATTCTGAGATTCTGAGATTCTGAGATTCTGAGATTCTGAGATTCTGAGATTTTGAGATTCGGAGATTTTGAGATTCTGAGATTCTGAGATACTGAAATTCTGAGATTCTGAGATTCTGAGATCCTGAGATACTGAGATTCTGAGATCCTGAGATTCTGAGATTCTATTTTTTACGAAATGCAAAAAGCATCGAAAAAGAAAGCTCGAGTTTTCAGAATTTCCAGAAATTTCGGACATACCAAACTTCTCAAAATCATTTGAAAAATTCTAAATTTCGGAAAATCCCGAATTTTTTAAAGATGGTCAGAAAATTGGAAAACTCAAACAAAAATGTCCAAAGCTTTCAAAAAATTCAGAAGTTCCAGAAAATTAGAAATTTCAAAAGTTCCGAGAAATTAAAAAAAAATTTCAAAAAAAAAGAATAATTCAGGAAACCCAAAAACTTGCATGGCCCAAGATTCTGAGATTCAAAGATTTTGGTTTTGGGATTCTGAGATTTTGATACTGAGGATCTAAAAAATGTTAAAATTCCTAAAATGACCAGAATAGTGGCCATCTTCAAAAACTCTCTCCCATAAAAAAAATCGAAAAAAAAACTTTATGACAAAAATTTGATGGACATATAAATGTGCTACAGAGATTACTAAATCTCAGTGGAGTTGAGAACTTTGACGTACTCTCTCTACTTTTATTTCGACAAGTTTGAACTCACTTTCTAAAAAAAAAAGTGGGGGCTTTTTTGCTCAGCGAAAAAAAGGAGCCGAGTGTTGAGAACAAAAAAAGTCGGTTTCTGAAGAAAGACACTTTTTCTCTTTCCACCGAGCTACACGACCATAATTCGATTGAGCCACGCTTTGATTTTCGAATTTCGGCCCTACAAGAGAAAATAGACACGAGGAATTTGGTTAGAGGAAAAGAATGGAGAAGAATAAACGTCTTCTATTTCTTGTACGGATTCTGATACATGTCTTCTGAATTCTGAATTCTTTGATGCTTCTATAAAATGTAGGATACGCAAGATATAGAAAAAGAGGAGGAATCTCACATCCATTAGAAGATTATGCGTTGCTCCTCACTCGTTTCCTGTGAATTCTAAATTTGTAGGAAAAAGTAAAAGAAAAAGAAGCATAATTTATGAATTTCAAATTGCACTAGAAAACACTTTTCAACATGACATGTAATCCCTGTTACAATGTGACAAGAGCTCGGCGGACATTTTGTGAAAACTGATATCTTTGGTAGTAGGTACTCGTTTCTACAACTTTGTGGCATTCAATTTCATTAGAGGGGCAAGTTGTGGAAAAGAAAAAAGAGAATGAGAAAAGGTATAAAAGAAGTTACAAGAATTGAAAATTCGCTAAACCTGGAGAGCCCTCTAATAGAAGGTCCTAATAGAAGGGTCCCCAACTTTTACTTTGAGTCATTTTTTCTCGATTCCTGTGTATGATATCAAAAAGTGGTCAACTGATAAATTGTTTATCATAATATCAAAAATGTTTTGTCAGTTGACGCATTTTTGATACCTTGCATAGGAACCGAGATATAAGGGATCAAATGTGACAGTGTGGGGCCCTTCTATAAGAGGTTTACGGATGACGAGGTTTCAGAGCCATTGCGATTTGGAGTCATTGGCATATTGGAGTCTTAAAATCTAGGAATTGTTGGATTGAGATCCTCAGACCAATGTTCCTTAGAATCTAACACTTCTGTGATCTATAACTTTTGGGATTTGAAATTTGGGATCATCAATATTTGAAATTCGAAGCATATCAATTTATGGTAATTGGAACTTGGGACTCCGGGGTTTTTCGAATTCAGGGTCGACATAATAATACATAGAAATCCCCAGCTTTGGGTCTGATCTACTTTGACTAAATTTACCGTATTTCCACTAATAGATTCCCAGCTCGTCAACTTTGAGCTTAATTTTCTCGATTTCTGTAAAAAATAATAAAATTTTGTCAACTGATAAAATATTGATAATATTATGATAAACATTTTGTCAGCTAACAATTTTTGATATCTCTTACAGGTGCTAAGATAATTAAGCTCAAAGTGAGAACCTAGTAGCCGTAAACTCTCTGATGGAACGCCAAGATGCGCGCTGTTTAAGCTTGATTATCTCGGTTCTTGTAAGAGATATCAAAAATGTGTTAATTGGTAAAATATTGGTTATTTTATGATAAACAGTTTATCAGTTGACAAATTTTTGATATCTTTTGCAGGAATTGAGATAATTGAGCTCAAAGTTGACATGTTGGGTGGGCTTGCATCAGAGGAACTAAGGTATCGTGGTTTCTGTAGAACATATAGGCTAGCAATATCTAGGATTCTTGAATTCTCAATATTCAAATTTGTCTCTAATTTCATATTCTTCAAATCTTCAATGACATCACACACTCATAAAAGGACTCTATTTTTAGAATACACCTATTTTTAGGACTATACGTTTCCCTAGAAACATTCTAGATGACGATAAGAGCACAGGAAGGACGAATTGGCAAGGGAAAGAGTGCTTCTTCTTCTCCTTATTTTCAAAATTAAAGATGTCGGAAGTTATTGAATTAGTGCACGCTCCGGCTGGCTTATTAGTTGGAAAAGGATCCGCTTCCCGTTTTCCGGAGAGAGAGAGAGAGAGAGTAGAGACAAAGATGAATTGACTTCATAATTCTCTCGAGAGGAATGAGGAAATCGAAAAAGTCCGGTAAAAGAATAGCGAGAGGAGGAGAAGACAACATTTTTCACAAAAACATTTTTCTGAACTTTTTGAGGAGAATACATATAGCGTCGCTTTTTGTGGTGCGGAGATATGATGTCCCTTTGGGAGTCGACTAATAAAATGTTTTGTTTCGTCGTGTTGGGAAGCGATAAGCAGAAACGATAGATTGATGAATATAGGAACGAAAACAATTTGAGGTTCTTTTGTGTTGGCGTTGTTAGGCGGAAGCAATTTTGAGATTCTTAAATCAGAATCACAATTTCCAAAATCCAAAAAAATAGGTTGTCGAGTTATTTTGTTGTAAAGATGGGGAGGTAAGGAACACTTCGGGGTTTTTTGAAGCTACGGTATCCCTTTTGACGTGACGTGTGTACATTGATCGATGTTGCGCCACTAGCTAAGTTGGTAGCAGTGTTGAGCGGAATACCGTCTTCCGTGATTTTTTTTGTCCCGTCTTCCGGCTTCCGTCTTCTGTCCGGAAAAATTTGATCCGTCTTCTGTCTTCCGTAAACTCCGGAAAAATCACAATAAACGGAAGACTAAGATTTTTCAGGACTTGTTGAATTTTGAGTCAACTTTTTCGAAATTATTTTTTTCCGTCTATCTGCAAAACCGATGCCAAAATTCGAATCTAAAATACTTTCTAATTCAAATTTAAAAATTTCAATTCCTCGATTTTCCGTCTTCCGGTTTCCTTCTTCCGTCAAAAATGTTTTGTTCCGTTTCGGTCTCCCGTCATCCGTGAAGCAAAATTATATTTTTGCTCAACACTGGTTGGTAGTAACTCGAGACATCCAAAAGTGAGCCCACTAGTTCAACTCCTCGAGTGGCTTTTGGAATTTGCTAACTGTTAAGTTTGAGGCCAATTTCTCTCAGTTCCTATGCAAGATATTAAAAATCTGTCAACTGATAAATTGTTTATCATAATGTCACAAATATTTTATCAGTTGATACATTTTTGATATCTTTTATAGAAACCGAGATAATGACGCTCAAATTGGACGTATGGGTGGGCATCTTTCAGAGCAGATACGGTACCTATGTCTGATATTTTGGGTCCTGGTTACAGGTTTTTCGTTATATGGAAATACAGAAATATGGAAAAAATTATAAAGTTCTAAAATGTCGAAAAAAAGCATCAGACGGTTCTGAATTTCAGAATTTCCGGAAAAAAAATTTTAATTTTTTTGAATTTTTGCGAAATTTCCGGTTAAGTCGGGACTTGTGAATTTTCGGAACTTGTGAATTTTTATTTTGACATTTAGAAGTTTTTGTTCTGAAAATTCGTTCCGTAACTCCGTAAAACCCTAAAATTACCTTAAGCTCTCTAATAAACCGTCAATTTTAAGCTCGATTATCTCATTTTGTGTAAAAGATATCAAAAAGTAGCGAACAAAATGTTTATCATAAAACATTTTATCAGTTGACCAATTTTTGATATCTTGGACAGGAACCGAGATAAATCGACTCAAAGTTGAAGGTTAGTGGGGCTTTCGATTACAGGGTTTTACGGTGTTCTGCCTGGTACTGAGGTTCCAGTTATCTCTTAAATATCCAGACCATTTATTCAAAATCTTGTCTATACAAACTGTACTATCCTCTTTCCCGATCATCTATAGAATATACAACGTCTTCAACATTCTGCGTCTCCTACCTGCCATCCAACGTCTTCTCCCTATCTTCTTCGCCGAATAGAAACTTCCGAAAATCAATAACCTGTTCTCTCTTCTCTAAGTCAACCATGTACACAAAGGTCATCATCATTTTCTCACGATACTCGAACCCTAAATTCAAAATTTCGTTCCAAAAATGGAAAGTACCCCACCACCACCTCCAAGTGTCCTAAATGACAATTGCTCAGCTTCCTATATGACACCATATGCTACAGTCATTGCCATGTCCGGATTATATCTCATTGTGATATTCTTCTTTTGTAAAAGTAGGGAAATTAATTTTTGGAATTGAAAATTATAAAAATCAGTTTTTCAGAATCCAAAAAGATGTGTATCCCAATGTCGGATAGTATGTATCCCCATCAGAAGCGGCTGAAACAGCTGGAAAGAGAGCTAAAAAATTATTTAATCGATGAGGAGAGCATCGAGGTTGATGACTATCAAATCGGTCAAACTTCTGATGGGTTCATTTTTCGTGGAGGCGTTTTTCCGAAAACTCGAAATAGATTCAATGCGAAAGTTACCACTGCTGTGAAGGTCTTTTTTGAAAACTATTCTAAAAAAAGTTTAAATCCAATTTCCAGATCAGCTTTCCTATTGTCGGAAAGTCTATCAGTCTTCTAGAGGATGCACTTCGACTTTCGAAGCTGGACCACCCTAATCTAATCCGACTTCTCGCAGTTTCACAGCTCTCTTTCAGTGGTGAGTTTTGCGTTTTCAATAGCAACAAAAAAGAAAAAGGAAGAATTGAAAAGTGTGAAAATACTAGATATCTAACCTGATTTGATTTTATAGTCTTCCGACCGATGATTGCGTTGGAGTGGCTTCCCGGAGGAACTCTAGCCGACTATTTTATCTATAAAATCAGGGTAAGTGGTTTTTTTAAAGGGGGGGGGGCATCAAAGAAAATCATTAAAGTCCCCCGAAGGGTTGAACTTGTGGGCTCACCGCTGGAAGTGCCGCGCCGCTACCAGCTGAGCTACGGTAGCGCAAGCAGAGGCGGTCTAATGATTTTCAGCCATTTTGACCATTTTCAGGAGTTTCCGTTCACTTTGTAAATGTTGGAGGGCGTGAAACAGACCTAGATTAAGAACTTTGCATTCACTGAATTTTTTGAAAATTCCTAGTTTTTCAGCTATTCTCCGATTTTTTGTGATTTTCGAAATTCCTTTTTTGCTGCATCCACTCAGATTTTTTGCAATTATCTTGAGTTCTAAAAACCCTAGAACAAAACCAAGTAGATATTCAGATTCAGCACAAAATTTGACATCGAAATGACCCATTTACCGTATGTTGCACTTTTGGCTCAACTGGGTAGAGGGGCGACTGGCGATCTAGAGGTCACGGGTTCGAATCCTCGCGGGGTGAAATTATTGGAATATGTTTTTGAAAGCTTCTGTTGAAAGATTCCGCTCCGCGACCAGCTGAGCTACGTTGGTACAAGCTTAGGCGGCCGACCGGCGGTCGAACGAACGCGCTGTGGGAGGGTTTTTTTGAAACCCCTAACATGGTGCATCTACCCAGATTTTTGCGATTATCTTGAATTCTAGGAGCCCTAAAACAGAACTAAACAGATATTCAGATTTGGCACAAAATTTCCCATCGAAATGACCCATTTACCGTAATTTGCATTTTTGGCTCAACTGGGTAGAGGGGTGACTGGCGATCTAGAGGTCAGGTGTTCGAACCCTCGCGGGGTAAAATTATTGGAATATGATTTTGAAAGCTTATAAACTTCTAATTTTTGGTTTTTATAGAAATTCTCAATTATCAGGTGTCCAAATATGAGGTCTAGACAATCTTAATGGTCGGGAATTAGGAAAGGACGATGACGCTTAAAAAAAATAACTCCCAATAATCTTCTGTCCCCCTCCTTTTTAAGGCTCTGGGTCTAAAAATTCTCTGAAAACTCTCTAAAAACCACAAGCTTCCAGGAAAAAGAAGACTCCGATAGGTCTCCAATCCAACTCAAGGACATGTTATCCATCCTTTATCAAGTGTCACAAGCTTTAAAATACATTCACAGCCAGCTAGACGAGTTTGGACAAGAGCTAACTCATGGAAGAATTCTAACCAGAAACGTTCTTATCACCGAACCGGATCTCAAGAAGTGTGAAGTGAAGTTGGGAGACTTCGGAGAGGCACCAAGTGGATTGGAGTACACGACACCGATTGTTGCCTACATGCCACCAGAAATCCTGTGCTGTGCTGAACGAATACCACCGCACCGGCCAGAGAATGATGTTTGGATGTTCGGAGTTTTTATCTGGGAGTGTTTGACACTAGGAGCTCAGCCACATTTCAGAAAGTCTGTGGAGGATATCAAGAAGTGAGTTTTCTGCTTGTTCTATAAATTGTATTTTTCTATAAAACTTTATTTTATAAAATCTTCATTCGCATGTCAAAACAATTGTTTTTTTTTTGATTGGTGAACTCGTCGGCCGCATCTGTTCAGAAGAGGTCCTTTTTGGCGTTGGCATCCATGGAGAGTCCGATCCAGGCGACGGCGGAGTAGGCAAGAGTCGATGCGACGAGGACGGCAGTGTAGATGGCGTTCATGGTTGTGGATCGTTTGGATCTTGGCATCAACTGAAAAGCTTTCGGCTTTTATAGCAATCGATATGTCAGCATTTTGACCGATAACATCTTTCCACGTGGAGCTCGCCACCGAAATGATGACAAATCGAATTCTATAAAAGCTGAGAGCTTTTCAGTTGCAGCCAAGATCCAAACGATCCACAACCATGAACGCCATCTACACTGCCATCCTTGTCGCGTCGACTCTTGCCTACTCCGCCGTCGCCTGGATCAGACTCTCCATGGATGCCAACGCCAACGAGGACCTCTTCTGAAGTCGGGCCCATCAAACATCAATCAAATAGCAAAATTCAGAGTTTTCTCACAGTACATAAATAATGTTTTTTAAATGATAAAGTTAATTTTTAATTTGTGTTGAAAAGAGAAACGACGAGCTGACATACCGTAGAACCTGTAATAAAAGGGCTTCCTAACTTTGAACCAATTTATCTCGGTTCCTGTGAAAGATATCAAAAAGTTGTCAACTGATAAATTGTTGCTGATGTTATGATAAAAATTTCATTAGTTGAAAAATTTTTGATATCTTTCACAGGAAGTGAGATAATTATGCTCATAGTGCACTTGTAGAGATTAGTGAATTTACAATGAACTTAAAACATTCAGTTTTTGCTCAAAATCTTCTTGACTCTGTCCTTCAAAACCTAGGATGCTCCTGAATCCGTCCTTTGAGGCCTAAAATCAAGTCTTCAAGATGTTTTAAAAGAATTTCATTCCAGAAGCTTCCGTCTCCCAGATCGGGGTCTCTCTTGTCCACCAACTTGTCCGCTTGATGTGTAAGTTTTTTTTGTATTTTTTGGATGAACATAATTCTAGAATCAAGCAGATCAATTTATCCCGTAAAACCTCCAATAGAAGGGCCCCCCACACTGTCAAGTTTGATAGCAAATTATCCAGAGGGTACAGCAATTTTGGTGTAATTGGGGTACAAAATCTTTAATTTGGATGTACAAAATTCTCAATTGGGGAAGGTACAAAATACCTGAAAGATCCGGATTTTGTATCCCCAAGCTGTGGATTTCGTACGCCTAAATGACTTTGTACCCGTTGTACCCCGAGTTGTTGTATCCTCTGAACGATGAGCCAATTGAAGGGCCACTAAGTTTGAGCGAACTTAACTCGGTTCCTATGAAAGTTATCAAAAAGTGGTAAACTGATAAAATATTGGTGATATTCTGATAAACATTTTTTTTTGTTGACTACTTTTTGATATCTCTCAAAGAAATTGAGATAATTGAGCTCAAAGAGCAGATATATGGTGAGCTTCTATTAGAGGAAGCACGGTAGATCCAAAAGCCTGACCCTGTCCTACTTTTATCCAGAAGTTACAAGTTGACATTTGAGAATCTTGCTAAAAACTTAATGACATTTTATTTCTTTTTAAAAGTTCCTATTCCAGCTGGACCCTTGTCATCGATTGCCTCTCTGATCCTCACGTCCGCCCTCGATTTGCCTCCACTACGAACGCCTCCATAACCACTCGGCTTTCAGAACTCCATCACATTGTTTCCCCGGCCCTCTTCCTTTATCCAATCCCCAACCAATCGGTTTGCACATGTATAGAGCATCATTGTCAAAGTATACCCCAATATTGAAATATGGTGCATCTAACTAATAAATATTTGATCTCCTTTTTCCCCTTGATATTTTCCACACACACACACACACACTTTGTTTTTTCTCACACCTCAATTCATTATGTCATCCATCCTCTGCCATCCTCTGCTGTTTTTCTGTAATCTCTCCGCCAGAGCATGAGCTCAGTGAGCTCATGTATGTAAAAATAACTTGAAAAAAGAAACGAAAAATATTATACTAAAAATATTATAAAAATATTATATTGAGCTCAAATTCTAGTTGTAGGGTGGTTAGCTCTACGAGAGCAAATATGTACGCTATACTTTGAGCTCAATTATCACGGTTTCTATGAGAAATAGCAAAAATGTGTCATCTAATAAAGGATTGGTGATACTATGATAAACAATTTATCAGTTAAAAAATTTTTGATATCATTTAATCGAACCGAGATAATTGAGTTCGAAGTTAGGCGGGCTTTTTATTCCAGGTACCGTACTTGCTCTAAAAGCCCAGTACGTTGAGCTCAATTAGCTCGGTTCCTAAAAGAGATATCAAAAAGTGTCAACTGATAAAATATTGGTGATATTATGATAAATAATTTATCAGTTGACAGATTTTTGATATATTTTTCAGAAAGCGAGATGAATAGAGTCAACATTTTTGAGACGTCCTGTTTTAACAGTACTTCCTCCACCAGTTCAAGAAAATTTTCATCAGGAGGATGTCACCGGATGTCTAGGATCTTTAGCCATTTTATGTGGAATGTGTTCACTTTGGAATCATGAATCTTCCGTGTGTCTGTGTGTCCAGATGTCGCAATGCCTGGTTACTCTGTAATAGAGTACTTTCAACTTTGAATCAACTTATCTCGTTTTCTGTGAAAGAAATCAAAAAATGGCCAACTAACAAAATATTTATCAAATTATCAAAAACGTTTTGTTAATTGACCATTTTTTGATAACTTCCCCAGGAAACGAGGAAAATTGGCGCAAAGTATACCGTTCTTGCTCTAATAGAAGCGCAGCCTATACGTGCTCTTTGAGTTTATTTATCTCGGTTCCTAGGAGCGATGTCGAAAATCTGTCAACTGACAAAATGTTTATGATACTGTGATAAACAATTTATCAGTTAACAACTTTTTGGTTTCTTTGACTGGAAATGAGATATATGGTTTTAAAGTTTATGGTCCGAAATGACCAAAAATTCTGAAACTGATTTTATGAAACTGATAAACGTTTTAAAATTGCAGTGCTGTCAATAAAATTTCCAAAATTTTCAACTCAATTTAATATATTAAAATCCCGACGCAACCTCGATCACCGACCATTCATCAAAACGCACTTTCAAGGAATTATTATTGGCGGAGTAGTCCTAAAATCTTAGCTCTTTTCGAATAAGAAAGCTGATCCCTCTATATGAAAATGAAAACCTTTTTGCCTATTTCCTCCGCCTGATAAGTAGTCTTCCCCTCCCGTTCCCTATATTCTTTTATATTCTTATTTTTATATCCATTCTCTTCTTCTAATCCGCTACACACGTCGTCGTCGTCGTTCGGCTCCTCCTCATCCCCATCATCCATCAGTTCTTATACGTCTTGACAATCCGTATTATCCTAGTTGGGAACTAGACATATGCATAACCACCCCGATAGATAATTTCCAACGAGTAAATTTTGCTTCCTTTTTTTTGCTTCCTTCATTCTTCTTTTTTTTTCCTCTTGGAGCATCATCTTATTCTTCTTTCAGACACGAAGAAGCATATAGAATTTCCATTCATAAATTTTTGATAAGTCGAAATAAAATAATTCGGAGCTCTCATACACATAGACACTCATTCGCTTCAATTCCCATTGCTCGGCGCATTTTTTTTCTACTACAAAACACATTAAAGGTGAATAGAGCCCCTCGAGGATTTGAACTTGTCGCTACCAACTGAGCTACGTTGGCACAAGCTTAGGCGGCCGACCGGCGGTCGACCTAACGCACTGTGGGAGGGCTTTTTTTTGAAAACCCTAACATGGTGCATCGACCCAGATTTTGGCAATTATCTTGAATTCTAGGAGCCTTAGAACAGAACCAATCAGATAATCAGATTCGGCACAACATTTCCCGTCGAAATGACCCATTTACCGTATTTTGCACTTTTGGCTCAACTGGGTAAAGGGGTGACTGGCGATCTAGAGGTTAGGGGTTCGAACCCTCGCGGGGCAAGAAGATTGGAATATGATTTTGAAAGCATTTTGAGCAGTTTGCAAATATTTTTGAAGCTCTTAATTTTCTAACTTTGTTCGAAAATTCTCAATTATCAGATGTCCAAGTAAGAGGTTTAGACAATCATAAGGGGCCGGGAATCAGAAATGTGTTAACACTAACTACTGTACACCAGTGATGGGAGGAATTTCCGTTTTCCGTTTTCCGCCTGGTTTTTAGAGGTTTTTTCAAGTTTCCGTTTCCGTAAATATGAAATTCTATTTCATATTCCGTTTCCGTTTTCCGTAAAAATCGTCAATTTTTACAGCGGAAACGGAGAAAAATGTAAAAAACAAAGAAAACATCAAACTGAAACTGGCTTGAAAAAACGCATGGAAATTGAGGCAAATATGGTCTTTAACCGTTCAAAAGTATTTATTTTCATGTTTGATGGAAAAAATCCTGAAAAATAGAAGAAAAACAGGCATTTTGCGCTTCCGTTTCCGTTTTAGTTTTCCGTTTTCCGCCCGATTTTTGAAAATTTTTTTCCGTTTCCGTTTTCGGGGATAAAATTAACGATTCCGTTTCCGTTTCCGTTTTCCGTATTTCGGTAAAATGCGTTTCCTCCCATCACTGCTGTACACCGTCACTTAGGAATGCATAACCTTACTCCAAATAGACTCCCAAAACTCGGCTACCGTAATTTTGACAATTTCCTAGATTCTAGTTTTCATGCAAAAATCAGAAGGCAGACTTTCCTGGAATTCAAAACACAGGGAAAAGACACAGATTCCCACTGCTCATTATTCTTTTTCGCTTTTTTCTTTTCGTTTCTTTTCGCCTTCTCCACATTTTCCTCTCCTTCTGCTCCTCCTTACCCTTATTTTATACTTCTACTTCATGAGCATATTTACACTTTACTCCCTCTCGCATACCTCCATTGATTTTGGGTTTTTCATATGAGCAGAGAAAAGAGAGTTGCATTATTTTTCAAAATGATTTATATGCGCTTTGATACATGTCGAATTTCTTTCTAGGTCAGCTCTTGGTTTTTGATTTTCTAGGAAACAAAAAAGTATATATGTATTCGAAGAGAGTGTTTTTGGAGTTATTTGAACTCAGACTACTGTACATTTTTGTTTTTTTTCGAGCTTACTGTAAAGACTACTGTAGTTTCTGTGATTAAATATAATTTTCATCTCAGAATCTCAGAATCTCAGAATCTCAGAATCTCAGAATCTCAGAATCTCAGAATCTCAGACTCTCAGAATCTCAGAATCTCAGAATTTCAGAATCTCAGAATTTCAGAATCTCAGAATCTCAGAATCTCAGAATCTCAGAATCTCAGAATCTCAAAATCTCAGAATCTCAAAATCTCAGAATCTCAGAATCTCAGAATCTCAGAATCTCAGAATCTCAGAATCTCAGAATCTCAGATCTCAGAATCCCAGAATCTTAGAATCTCAGAATCTCAAAATCTCAGAATCTCAGAATCTCAGAATCTCAGAATCTCGGAATCTCAGATCTCAGAATCCCAGAATCTCAGAATCTCAGAATCTCAGAATCTCAGAATCTCAGAATCTCAGAATCTCAGAATCTCAGAATCTCAGAATCTCAGAATCTCAGAATTTCAGAATCTCAGAATTTCAGAATCTCAGAATCTCAGAATCTCAGAATCTCAAAATCTCAGAACCTCAAAATCTCAGAATCTCAGAATCTTAGAATCTCAGAATCTCAAAATCTCAGAATCTCAGAATCTCAGAATCTCAGAATCTCGGAATCTCAGATCTCAGAATCCCAGAATCTCAGAATCTCAGAATCTCAGAATCTCAAAATCTCAAAATCTCAGAATCTCAGTATTTTCGATTATTCAGAATTTCGTACTTTGACATTTTGGAGGTCTTTGCTAGAAGATTTCAAGTTTTCGAAATTTGAAAGTTTCGAGATTTTCAAATCTAACAGCAACTACGGTATTTTGAGCTTAATTAGCTCGGTTATGAGAGATATCAGAAATCTGTCAACTGATAATATACTTATCATAATATCACCAATATCTTATCAGTTGAACATTTTTTGGTATCTTGTCTGGCAACCGAGATAATTGAGCTCAAAGTGCACTTAAAGGGTGGAGCTTCTATAAATACGGTACTTGTGTCTGAGATTTTAGGTCCTGAACTGTGTTTCAAAATTTAAAAAATTCTGAAATTTGTTTCTCGAGATTCACAAAATCAAAACTCGAGGCTATATATAAATTTTTCGTAATCTGCAAATCTAAAAACCAAACAACTTGCATAACTCTCTCTCTGCTATTTGACACTTCTCTCCCTTGATTTCAGATGCCTAATTGCCACCTACACGTCTTCTAAAATGTTTTCTAGAATCTATGTAGGCGTGCGTTACTCAATTTACAAGAATACGATATAACTTTAGTTTTTTTTTCGTTCTATCCTATATTTTTTTTTATTCCCCATCAGGCGGAAACCAAACAAAAAAAACAGGAAGCAAAAAGGTGAATCCTTCCAAAGAGAGACTCCTCGAGAGAGAGAGAGAAAGACACACAAACATACATTGCCTCTAAAAATTTACTTGCGTTTAGGGCCAATTAGAGTCGAGTAGTAGTCGCACAGGGGCTGTGCTCTCCTGTCGGCACAGAGCTCACGTTGGAGCAAAAAAAAGCAGAAGGAGAAGAAGACATGATGAGCGGAGGAGCACACGTACTTACATGTGCTCTAGCCCCCATAAACACACTAAGACCCCTCAGCGTCTTCTCGTCTACATATACATACACCTGCAATTGTTTGAGACATCTGAAATTGCGTCTTCTTCTATTTCTTTTTTTTGAGTTTCCCTCTTTTTTCACTTCCCTTTTTACTCCCAGAAGTCGTTCTCAAGTGCGTTCAAGTGCGTTGGGGAAAGAGTATCCGTATTTTCTAAGAAAAAAAAGATATTTTTGATCTCTAATTTTGTATAGAACTACTCTTTTTTTTGCTCTGGCTGGCCCTTTTTTGGCCCTTTTTTGTTTAAATTGGCCCTTTTTTGTTTAAAATTTGAGAAATTTGGAATCCAGGATTTTAGAATTTTTGAACTTTTGGAATCGAGCGCGTTCCGTATCTCTTGAACTTTGTACTCTTACAATTCGAAATTCTTAGAATCTAGAATTCGAACTTTTATCTAGAAATAGAACTTTGAGGATCCAGGATCTTCAGAATCTAGAATCCATAGGATCTTCATAGGATATAGGATCCTTAGGATAAAGGTCCCATAATATCTAAGATACATTGATCTAGTATCTCAGACTTAACGAATCTCAGATTTTCCGATTTTCAGAATTTCAAAATTGTTGTTTTTCGGAATCTCAGAATCTCAGAATCTCAGAATCTCAAAATCTCAGAATTTCAGAATCCCAGAACCACAGAATCTCAGAATCTCAGAATTTTGGAATCCCAGAACCACAGAATCTCAGAATCTCAGAATTTTGGAATTCCAGAAATTCGGAAAATCTAAAAAATTCAAAACTTCGGAAATTCCTAAATTTAAAAATAAAAAATAAAAAACTCTAAATATTTTTCGAATCCTAATTTTTTTTCGAATTTCTGAAATTTGGGAAAATTGTAAATCGAGAGGATCAAAAAAATTAATTTTGAAATTTTGAAATTCCGAAAATTTGGAAATCTGAGATTCTGAGATTCTGAAATTCTGCTCCAGTAAATTTTTAAAAGTCTTAAAGGCCTCTAGAGTCTACAGGATTTAGAATTCTGATGTTTTTCAAATCTGAAGTCCTCAGAACTTTGAATCTTAAGAGATCTAGGATCTTTTGAGCCTAGAACTTATGTGCCTTCGACGATATTTAGGCCTTGGACTAATTTTTCTGTGCTTTAATTCTCTAGTATTCTGCTAAGAACTCCTCCTGCCTTTTTTGTATTCTCTCCAAAATGAATCATCATTCTCTACGTCAATATCTTTTCTCTTTGTCTATGTACAAATAAAAAAATACTTCTGATTTCAGAACGGAAATAAGAAGAGGAGAACATCAGAAATCGGGAAGAATGTACTGCTGAAGAGAGCCATCCAACAGAGCAAAAAAAACAATGATGGCCGCCAACTCGATTGTTGTTCAAAAACCGCCGAGCACCTACATGTGCTCTTTTTCGCTCTACACATCTACAGTAATCATGGCGATGCTCCAGACCATTCTTTCAGCATTACTGGCGTAAGTTTTTGTGTAGTCTAGAATGATCTAGAGCGATTTTTGTACCTCATACCAGTCGTCGGGATTCACAGGATCATCCCTTCAAAAATAACATCCAAAACACCCTTTCAATCTAATTGGAAAAATCTTCTTATGGAGTTAGGATCTATTTATTCTTAATCGGAATTCAAACACAAAATTCAAAAATTCCAGAGTCCTGTACAAAGTCAAAATCGAGGGAGACAGTGTGATCGTCCGAATCCTGTTCTGGATCCACGTGTGCTGCTCCGTTTCGGCACTTCTCTTCTCGTTGTTTTGCATTGCGAAACGAAAAATTGGGTCAACGTACGAAGTCGTTCTTCATGGATATCTGCTCAGTGTGGTGAGCCAGCTTCTCTATTGCGGTGGCCTAGAAACTCAAAAATTGAAATTTCCGGACCGTGACCTACAAAGCCAAATTTTGGAATTTTCGGCCGCGACCTTGAAAACCAAATATTCGTACAGGAAAACTAGAGGGTCCTCGGCCGTGGCCTAGAAAACCAAATATTGCAATTCTCAGCCATGGCCTAGAAAACCAAATATTGCAATTCTCGACCGTGACCTAGAAAACCAGTTGTCGCTATTATTGCCCGTGACCTATAAAATCAAATAAGGCAATTCTCGACCATGACCTAGAAAACCGAATATTGCTATTCTCGGTCGTGGCCTAGAAAACGAAATACTGAAATTTCTCGGTTTTGGTCTAGAAAACCAGTTTTGAAAATTCTCAGCCATGGCCTGGAAAGTCAAATATTGAACTTTCTTCATCGTGGCCTACAAAATTTTAAATGAAATGTTTGAATTCTCAGACATGGCTTAATAAAACATGTGTTGGATTTCTCGGCCGTGACCTAGAAAACCGAATATTGCTATTCTCGGTCCTGGCCTAGAAAATTTTAAATGAAATGTTTGAATTCTCGGACATGGCTTAATAAAACATGTGTTGGATTTCTCGGCCGTGACCTAGAAAACCGAATATTGCTATTCTCGGTCCTGGCCTAGAAAATTTTAAATGAAATGTTTGAATTCTCGGACATGGCTTAATAAAACATGTGTTGGATTTCTCGGCCGTGGCCTAGAAAACCGAATATTGCTATTCTCGGTCGTGGCCTAGAAAATTTTAAATGAAATGTTTGAATTCTCGGACATGGCTTAATAAAACATGTGTTGGATTTCTCGGCCGTGGCCTAGAAAACCGAATATTGCTATTCTCGGTCGTGGCCTAGAAAACGAAATACTGAAATTTCTCGGATTTGGTCTAGAAAACTATAAACTGAAAGTTTTCGGCCGTGGTCTAGAAAACCATACATTGACAATTCTCGGCTGTGATCTAGAACCGTGGTCGTGGTTTATCATGCATTGCAATTCTTGGCCGCGATCTAAAAAACGACACTACCAGCTCAAACTCCATTTTCCAGCTCATCAACGGCCTAACGTCGCTATTCGGTGTACTGTACATTCCACTGTTCTTCCTCCAAACCACTCATTCTCTCATGGAAGGGCTCGACTATTTCATCTGCTTCAGCCTCTCCGGTGTCCTTCTCTTCCTCCAATGGGCCGTCAAACAAGTCACCGAACAAATGCTACCGGTTATGGAACATGATTTCAAAGTTTGAATTTTTATTGAATTCAAGAATTATATTTTGGATTTTTTTCGCTAAAAACTAATATTTTGTAATTCTGGTTTTGATCTTCACCCTGTTTCTTTTTTCTCTTTCTCATTTGTCAAACGGTATGACTCATACCAAAACAGTAATAATGTAATTTTAATAAAATCTTTGGATCTCGGTGATTCAATCAACAACAACAACAACACATATTTCAAAAACCGATTCATTCATTATTGTACTGAGTTGAGGAGAGTTCTCCAATCGCATTTTATTTGACTTGTTGTGTAGGGGATCGACTTCAGAAGATGTCCTCGTTGGCGTTGGCATCCATGGAGAGTCCGATCCAGGCGACG